GGTAGCTACTATTCATCAGACTTCACATGTTATTAAAAAGTAGGTTTCTATTAACCTTAAAAACAAAACAGCAAATAGAAAGAACAACTGTATATGTTTTTATTAGTATGGTGGTGAAGCGTAGTATGGTGATGAAGAGTCCAGACTTAAGGAAAAAAAAAGACTTTGTCTAAAGGAAAATCACAACATGTACAAAAATAGGGAACACAGTATCATGAATCCCACATACTCATCACCCAGACAGCCATCAACTTGTAGCCAACCTTGTTTCAGCTACACCCCACCCACTTTCCCACAACCCACTCTGGACTATTTTGAAGCAAATTCCAGGCTTCATATAATTTCATTTATAACTAGTTCAATATATATAAGCACACAGACTCTTAAGTTACACAGATCTGGAGTCAAATCTAGGCTCTCCCACCTACTAGCTGTAAGACCCTGGGCCATTGACTTCACTTCTTTGAGCCTGTCTTCTATTTGCAAAATGGGGATAGTAATGCTTGCTTCACAGGATTGCAACGTGAGCAAAATGAGATATGGTATCTAAAGAATTGAACTTAGCGCTGGCACACAGAAAGTAGCTAACACACGCAGCTATGGTTATTATTAACAAACTAGCCAAACCAGAGCTACTGCTATTTAAATTATGGGGTGTCCAAACAAACGAGCCTCTTCAGTGGCAATAACGGCATCCCTGTGCCATCCAACTGTACGTATTATCAACACATCAGGACAGAACTCTTTCTGACTTTTTTCTAACGAGGCTCACAAAGAAAATAACTGGTATCAAGTATCCCTATATTTTAAAGAGATACTAACCTCTTTATGCTGAACTTGTAAAGACAGAAACTAAAAATGATTTGTAATTCATTTGCCAAATATTCACCTTCAGGAGCTTAAGAGTAAAGAGGTCCAGAAAAAATCTCCATGGATAAAGGTGGTAGAGTGCTGTGCAGTTTCTTACCACACTCCATGGGTGCGGGAAGGAGGTGCTTTTCTGTTACCTCAAACCAAGAGAAACGGGGTTTTAACAGGCCCTAAGAGAGTACAACTTGCTTACCCTGGAAATTTTAACTGTAGACATCAACTGTAGAGTACAAAGATTGGTGTCTGGCTTCCATTAAGAAACAGGACAGAGCAGCATGTAGTGGCCGAGTAGAGGTAAGCAGTATGTCCTGCCAAAGTGAAAGGGGTCCTCCTCCCTGCTGCTGGTCACCCACCCTCAGGCAGGTCCCAGCTGGGGAAGGGAAGATTTCCTTTTGTAATGAAGTTCAAAGTGGACATTTTAAGTGCTGAAATCAGACTCCTCTTGTGACTAGAAGTGGTAAAAGAACTTTTTAAAAATCTTAAGTGAAAGAAAAAGTTATAGGATATATATTATAGGAGACAAATATATGATATGACATATATAGGATATATATTCCATCCAAGAAGGAGGAAAAAAAAAAGAACCCACAGAATGAGTTCAAAGGGAGAACTGGAAGCAAAAATTAAGTTGGTGTTTCTCTTCCACCCCATCCCATCCTACCCTTCTAATGGAAGTAAAGTAAGGAATACCTTCTATACATTAATAAGATGTAGACAATGCACTCACTAAATTACATAAATAATGTATGATCAAGTATTAAACTACGACTTGTCACTTCTAAAATGAATAACTCTTCTGAGTGGGCCAGGTGCAGTGGCTCACACCTGTAATCCTAGCACTGTGGGAAGCCAGGGCAGGCAGATCACTTGAGGCCAGTAGTTCCAGACCAGCCTGGTCAACATGGCAAAAGCCCGCCTCTACTAAACATACAAATACTAGCCAGGCATGGTGGTGCATGTCTGTAATCCCAGCTACTTGGGAGGCTGAGGCATGAGAATTTCTTGAACCTAGGAGGTGGAGGTTGCAGTGAGTCAAGATCCGCCACTGCCCTCCAGCCTTGGGCAACAGAGCAAGACTATGTCTCAAGGGAAAAAAGAAAAAAAAAGAATAACTCTTCTGAAGATACATTAGAAAATCTGCTTTTTCTCTTTTATTTTTAATTGACTAACAGCAGCTAAGTGATGCTTCCATGAAAAATTTTACCCATTCTTCCAAAAAGAAAGGAACAAACAGGCAATAAAAGTTGAAGAGACAGAGACAGAGGAAAAAAAGGAGTCATGTGCCCCAAGATGACTGATCCAAAGAGAGCAAGGTCCTTTGTTAAGCACTAAAACAGTGCTTAAGGGGCAAAGCAGGATTTCCTGCCCTTAAGGAGTTTGGATTAAACAAAATAGCAATCTCCAGAGATAAACATACAGTCTTCTGGAGGAGGGGATGGAATGAAAAGAAATGCAAACCTGAAAAGAGTCAAAGGCCTAGTAAAGAATCCTTGTAAAGGCTACTTGTGAAGTCACATGAAGCCAATTCCTGGCTCTTTGAAAACTCAGATCTTAGTCAATCAGTTATAATGACATATTCTGTAGTTTCTGAAGCACTCCTACATTGGTTTTGAAAGCTCATTCCATTTAAGATCAATCCTTCTTTGGAGCCAGGGTTATTCATTACTTTCAACTATGGAACACTATACTGACCTTTATAATAAAAAGTGTGAACACTGTGACTGCATTTTGAATTATAAGTAGGCATGAATTCATTCTTAGAAAACAGTAAATGCCAAACCAGAGCTACCTTTATTTAAATTATGGGGTGTTCAAACACGAGCCTCTTCAGCGGCAAGAATGGCATCCCTGTGCCATCCACCTGTACAAAGACAGGTGACAATTCTCATCCAGAGCATGTCATCTCCACAGCTTCTGGCACAAATTCTAGACAATCCAGCCCTCAGTTTTAGCACTAACTAGCCACAACCCAAATTAGTCACAGAACACACTGTACATGGTACATAGAGGGTTCAGGTTCATTTTTAGCAGTGGCCTCCAGTGTGTTACTTCAAGTTTTATGTTGCTATCATAACACAGTTAATAAAACTACTTCTTGTCATAGTGATAATGAATAAAAGTTGAGTCTCATTTTCAGTCCTGGCCTACTAAAACGGTTTGGGTAATTGATTCCTGTGTAAGTCAAGGCAATCGAATTTATTTTTGGTTATGCAATCACAGAACTGATTACTTTTCCAATAAAAGTCAAAAGAACTAGATTACTTCCCAGAATAAAAAGTAACAAGCAGTAGTTTGTATATCTGAGTGAGAGTGAGAGAGGGAGAGTGAGTGTGTGAGTGCGTGAGTGTGTGTGCAAACGGGCATGTGGAGGTTCTGCCAATTCTCCATCTGGAAGCCATGATATAACAGGATAACCGCAAACTGCATTCTCACTGGTTAAGTCCATGAATAATGCCCAGATAATCTAGCAGGCCTTAAAAAAGAAATGAATGGTGACGTGTAACTGAGGCTCACACAGTCATTTATAGTAGATTGATTTTCCAAGGTACTTTTAGCAATTCAAAAAACATCTTGGATGGAAGGCAAGAAGAAATAACACGTGAAAAAACAAAGCAGTTTGTTTCCCACTGCTAAGTTAAAGAAAATAGATTTCTCAATGATAGCTCTTTTATCCTATAATCAACAATCCTTCAAAATAAAATACGGCTAGTCTAAACCAACTGGATGAATAAAAAGGCATCTTTCATCTAACCATGATTCATTTTTACAATTATTGTCTACTTTAAAATAATCTACTTCAAACATGATTTTCCTCCCCCATCCCCGCCACCAGGGCAAGAAGACCACAGGTTACACAGAAGGCAAAGTACACCTCAAGGTAGGAGAAAACATTTGAGATGTGATTCTCTTCTTCAGGTCAGTGAAGTCACCTGGAGGTAGAGGGAAGAACTTCCTTTCTTTCCCCTACTTATTCTCAAGTCTGAAAACCAAGTTCCCAACAACACTTTTATCTAAGGGCAAAGGAATGATGAGTCTCCCCAGGGGGAGAATATAAGAAATGACCATAAAGTACTAAGAGTGACTTTTAAATAAATGTGCCAGAACTAATACACACAAATGGATGGTGCCCCCTTCAAAGTCATTACCCTGGAAATTATATACTTATTCTAATGATAATATTATGGGCACTTTGGAATTTGTTTCAGAGCCCAGAATTTTCCACATCCTTAAAGCTAGCAAGTGTTTGTCTTTTCAGGTTGAATTTAGCAAGTCAAAAGTGCTCAGAGTAGCTGTACTTTTTGTTGGAAAATCTTTCTTGACACGCCAAATCTAGGTTACTTGTTCCCTCCTAAATGATCCCTGGACTTCTCCCAGCAGAGTACTTTTCACTCTCTCTTTGGAACTGCTTACTTACTCATCATCTGTCTGACAAAACTGTAAACTTCAACAGAGCAGGGAACTTTTCCACCTTCTTTATTATTAGACCCTCAGCCCCACCATAGAGCCTAGAAGATTACAGGCAGTCAAGAAATACTGAACCATGCAAGCTATTATAATGTAAAATGGTTTGCAATACTGTGTATGCCTTATTTGTTTACCTTCTTTTTTTTTTTTTTTTTTTTTTTTTTTTGAGACAGAGTCTCGCTTTGTCGCCTAGGCTGGAGTGCAGTGGCGCAATCTCGGCTCACTGCAAGCTCCGCCTCCCGGGTTCACGCCATTCTCCTGCCTCAGCCTCCCGAGTAGCTGGGACTACAGGCGCCCGCCACTGCGCCCGGCTAATTTTTTTTTCTATTTTTAGTAGAGACGGGGTTTCACCATGGTCTCGATCTCCTGACCTTGTGATCCGCCCGCCTCGGCCTCCCAAAGTGCTGGGATTACAGGCGTGAGCCACCGCGCCCGGCCTTGTTTACCTTCTTTACTCCTCTCGGAAAAGAGTTTTTATTACACCTCTGTGCAATTACTTACCTACATATATGTTATACACAGGAATTTTATACTTTAAAAGTGGTTGGATTCATTTTTCATTACTTATTTATATACAGAAAAAAAAACAAAAATAATTGTATCTTCACAAATTAAAAACTTACAACTTTTTCCCTCCCAAATTTGCAAGCGCAATAATATCTTACCTAGTTGCAATATCTTTATAGTGTCGCTGCAGGCCTTCATCACCAGTTTGAAATGGCGATAGAGTGGGTAACACAGCACCCTTCTTCCAAAAGACACCATGATATCATGAACATTAGTCCAAGTCTGTGAAGTGGCATTTTAATAAGCAGTCATTTCCATAAAATGTCACACAAACAAAAGCACACAATGAAATAGGAAGCTTTTCTCATTTAAAAGCTGTAAGTTCGGATCATTGTGATGCCAAGTAGAAGAGAAACATAAAACCATGAAATAAGATTATTTTCGTATACCTTAAAATAAAACATAGAATCTTAGTTTTTCTAATTTCTCACACTATCAATACATCACAAATGTCACAAGAAAGCTTTTTAAAGTCCTAAGTATTTTAGATTCTTACAAATAAGAATCTAAAACACATGGTATTAACAAAATACAGATGCACATAAAGGATATTTTAAAATAATTTACATTTCATGTTTTTGTTATCTAGGGCTATTCAAGATGGCACACATCAAAAATGTAGAACTCACCAGGCATGGTGGCTCATGCCTGTAAAGCACTTTGGGATGCCAAAGCGGGCGGATCACCTGAGGTCAGGAGTTCAAAACCTGCCTGGCCAACAGGGCGAAATCCTGTCTCTACTAAAAATACAAAAATTAGCCAGGTGCAGTGACAGGCACCTGTAATCCCAGCTACTCAGGAGGCTGAAGCAGAGAATTGCTCAAACCTGGGAGGCAGAGGCTGCAGTGAGTCAAGATTGCGCTACTGCACTCCAGCCTGGACAATACAGCGAGACTCCATCACAAAAAAAAAAAAGTAGAACTCTTTAGTACAGTATGTTCAGCTTCCTCTCCTCTTTTTTTCTTTTTTCTTTTTTTTTTTTTTTTTTGCACTGGACATGGGTAATACAAGACATTTACTTGAGTAATTTGCTCTTGCTTATCAAACTGATTTCTAGGAAAAAAGGTGTTCTATCTTGAATGGTATCAAACTGATAACGTTAGCAATTCAAAACTTACTAAAAACACTAGACAACAGAAAATTTCCACAAAATTGTTTTTCAATAAACAAAGTATAAAAAATGTAAACCATATGTAAAGCTTAAAACCAAGGGAGAAAGATAATTTACATGTACATCAATCCTTAAAACTATGAGAAATCTGATTAAGAACATTGAGTATTTGATATAAAGAGAATTATGAACTTAAAAACCATAAACAGGTGAATTTTCATGTAGATTTTTAATAACTATACCACAAAATTATCCAGTCACCAACTACTTCCAACATATTAATAAATGCTAACACAGAAACCGATTCCTCTATTATATGCTGATCACGGCAACATGAGGAACTCCAATGAGGCCTAGAGGGGAGCACTTTTCATCTTCAGTAGGCATACAAACTCCCCAGAGATCTTGCTACAAATTCTGGTTCTGATTCAGTGGGTGTGAGGTGGGACTGAAATGCTGTCTTTCTAATGAGCTCCCAGGTGAAGCTGCTGGTCAGGTTGTTGGTCCTTGAACCATTTTTGGAGTAGTAAGATTCTATAATGAAGTAAGTGTTTCAGTTCCTGTTTACATCTTACCTATTATTTTAACAAAGTGACGTCAATGAAACAACCTGGATTTTGCAACTTAAAAAATACTGGTTGTTTTAATTGATGATATAATCTTGATACTTTTTTAAAGTTTCTGCTTTTAATTACTGTTTTGATGCACAAGTTTGTTAAAAACTTATAAATTTAAAGATATTATCCTTTGGTATTTTTGGTGAGACCTGCACAACCATCTTTCAGAACACAGAAACAATTACTACCATATTAAAAGAGTTATCAAATGTAACCAGACTACATTTGAATTGCAGGACTTAAGTGATTTAAGCTATATGATCTAAGTTTCCTCACCTGTAAAACCTGCAACACTTACCTCACAGACTTACTGAGAATAGGTGAAGTTTTTCTTACATATACATATATATATTTTTAAAAATCATATAAAAACATTATTTTTCATGTGTGTGTGTGTGTTTATTCTTGGCATAGACCCTGATGGTCACTTATCACCTAGGTTTGCTTCCATCTTTGAGTTTCAAGCTCCAATACATGTCAGCTTACAAACACACCTCTCACTCTGTCCCACATTCTTTCCCAACAAACCATGTCTCCATCCTCTCTCCGACGTGTGTTTCCCTCCCCCAACTTCCAAAATACTCTACCTGGTTTCATTATCAGAATTTTATTAAAAAGATGGAAAACAAACTTGTACAATAGAGATTCTAGTTTTAAAAAGTCAAGGAATTGCTTGAATTACCCCAAATGATGTAAAAACAACAAAAATAACTTCCTGAACAACAAACTCTAAACAACTGCAACTGGAAATCATACCTCAAACCAGCACAGTGTTGGACTCAGTTTCCTGATATTCCATGCAGATTCAACCTGTATTTGTTTTGGAGAAAAAGAGTACCATCACATTAGAGGTTAAGTCATTTACACAAACCAAAGAAATCCATTTTTTCAACCAGTGTCTGAGGATCACTGACATATTAGAACTAAGAAGTGTTCACAACTATAGAAAAATAATTATTTTGCTGATGCAGAGACTATCAGTGGGAAGTTTCTGTTTACTTTCCTTGGGATTTTTGAAAATAAAACTTTTCTACTGATAAAAGTACCAGAACACAAGAGCAAATAACCAGGGGTTTTGAAACTAAAAGTTAAAGCAAAGTAATCCCTGCTCAATTTCTGTCCTTTTTCAGCTAAGTTACATGCCTCCCAAATAATCCATAAATAATCTATCAAAGGAATCAAAGATAATGTTGAAGTATTACCTGTGGCACTTAAGAAGCTGCTAGAAAATTTGATCTTTCAGAGAATGTTGGTGAGAATAAGTACATTCGAGAGGAAGTCTCAAGTTGTAAGACTTGATGATTTTAAATACACAAATACAAGAATAAAAAATAGTAAATTTTTTCAAGTATACCTAAACACTCATCTTTTCAAGATTTAATATGAAGCATTTTTTGTCAAAGAAAACATTTTCTCCATTTACAGTATCTTTAAAAGACGAGTGAAAACAAAAGGTATTTTCAGATATATTAAGTAGCCTTAGCACACTCAATTAATAGTCATCTTGGATTCAGACACAAACGTCGAGTCACCCTAGAAATTTTCAGAATCATGACAACAAAAAAATTGGTACACAGAAAATTCTAACTCTAATACCATCCTAGTGCTATAATGTTGAGTGAAAAAAGCAGGTTAAATAGTATATATGTTAGGACCCAAGGTAAATACACACAATATAGACACACGTGCACACTGAAAGAAGACTGGAAATAGATACATCGCCATGTAACAACGGTTATTTCTGATGACTAAAATTACAGGATATCTTAATTATTCCCTTCGTTTGTATATTTTCCTTTACAATATGAATTATTTGTGTAATTCAAAAAAGGAAAGTTATGCTCAGATCAAAAATAACCTTTAGAGCGAGGACAATTATAAATAGCTGCAGCGCCACACTAACTAGAAAGGCTGTTTTTTGGTTTCCAGCCTTTTTAAATATACAATCAATGATATAGGTGAAAAGGAAGTTTAGCTCTTCATTTACAATATCAAATATGGTTTAAGAAGAAATACAAGGCCGGGCGCGGTGGCTCACGCCTGTAATCCCTGCACTTTGGGAGGCCGAGGCGGGCGGATCACGAGGTCAGGAGATCGAGACCATCCTGGCTAACACGGTGAAACCCCGTCTCTACTAAAATACAAAAAATTAGCCGGGCGCAGTGGCGGGTGCCTGTAGTCCCAGCTACTCGGGAGGCTGAGGCAGGAGAATGGCGCTAACCCGGGAGGCGGAGCTTGCAGTGAGCCGAGATCGAGCCACTGCACTTCAGCCTGGGTGACAGAGTGAAGACTCCGCCTCAAAATCAAAAAAAAAAAAAAAAAGGAAAAATACAATAAAGTCTATATTTTTTAAAAGATTAAAAGGATTTACTTTTATAACATGATCCCTTTAAATAGCAAAAAAAGATATAATTCAGGTTTTAAAAAATCTGATTTACATATAATTTTTCAGAAATCCACACACTCTATGAATTGAGGGACACTTGCAGGTAAATACTAAGATTTCTTTATTTTGTAAAATGCCATATTTTGCATCTGCTGACTTCTGGCTGAGAGAAAGAATATAAATGGGTATGGTAGTTTACCCCCTGGCCAATGTGAAGTGTCATGTGACAGAGCACTTCTCTGGCCTAAAAGAGATGAGGGCTCAGAGTAGCCTTCCTCTCTACTCTCAGCTTTACTCCCTTAAACTTCCCTACTCTGCTATTTTGCAGAGACTAATCCCAAGAGAAAACTGAAAAAGACCGACTAAGCAATGTATGATTGCATGTGGGTACCCACACCACCACCCCACACACGCAACTCTGCTGGGGGCATCCCCTGAATAACTAATCACCACCAGTTCTACTCTAGACAAGAAAGACTGATGCTTTAATGCAGTTTACTCAGCACAGTCATCTATGGCAACACGCGCACATACAAGCACTTACATTCTTCTCTCCTTCAGTGACACGGGTTTCATAGCAATATGCCAGAAGGATATCAATCAAACTGTAGTACACTTGACGACAGGCTTTCTTGTCCAGCAGATAAGATTTATTGACAAATTTTCGTAGCTGATATTTCTCTTCTTCAGAAAAAGACACTAGAAGAAAACGCATTTAAAAATTAGATGTTTCATTCATTTTTGTAAATCCCCCAATGTGGAAGATTTGTCAAAATTAGAACTTTGATTATAGAAACTGAAATAAAAGTTATTTCTACTTAACTCTGGATATATAAATAACTTAAGTAGACGTCACAGTTTTAGTAAGAGCTGTGAGTCTGCTCAAATCCTAATAGGGCTGAATAAAGATTTTTCGAAATAATACCTATTCCTTAATTCCCAACCCTCCCTTTTTTGCTACACTGTTCTGTACTTAAGGCGTCTGAATGCCAGTTACTGACTTTAAAATTAAAATAATACATTTTGACAACAGAAAGCGCTAAAGTACACTGAAAATATTAATTATCCATTTGAAAGTTCTATACCAAGAAATAGGAATATTCCCAGATATTAATCAATTAAAATTGTTACATTTAAATTAACTAAATTTCAATTCAAATTAATCCATTAAAATCTCATATTGTCTACCATATAAATCAAGTTTTACATATAATCACATCACATACATTAGACTTGTGGGAAGAGACTGTTTCTTTACAACACGGTTCCTTTTTCCTTTTCTTCTTTTGCTTGGCACCCTCTCTCCACCTGAATATTCATCAACAGCCTCTCACCCACTAAAAATCTAGTATATATCATTCCATAGTTTTCTGTACAGACATGTAATCATATACAGACACACAAGCATACATACTAGGGAGTTTGTACTTCCTACGCCCTCCCTTGACCCAAATAACTAGGTCATTTTTCTCCATCTAGCCCTTCTCACTCAACAATACCTCTGGCAAATCCCTAAAAGTCAACTGGTGTGTAACTAATTTTTGTAAAGGAGTATAATATTCCAAAACGTACCATGCTCTATCCAACCACTCCCCCTACTGATGGGCACTCACGTTGCTTCTAGCTTTCTGCCACTGCTAATAATGCTGCAATAAATATCCTTATCCTATGTCCTTGGATATTAGAGGCTTTATTTACATAAAGTAGACTCTCGAGACTGGATTGACTGGGTTAAAAAAGTATCTGTTTTAGAAAGATACTTTACTTAAAGGCTACAATAACTCTTCTTTCTCACAGTCATGAATAGAAGTTCCTCTTCCTACACATACCTCCCACCTTCCCCTGGCAAGAAATGTAATAGCTTTTTTACAATCATTTCCAGGTTAATAAATTGAGTATAGCAGGCAGAATTCCAAGATGACCTCCAATGAGTCATATCACTATGTAGGAATGGAGCTTGTGACTTGCTTGTATCCAACAGAATACGGCCAGGCAATGGGACAGTCATTTCCATGATTACATTCCATTATTAGCAGACCAAAGCCAGGGACTCACCTGCTAGTTTTGAAGAAATGTCACACGGTGAAGTGAGACAGCCTGTGAGAAGGCTATATGGCAGGGACCTGTGGGGGCCTCTAAGATCTAAGAGTGGCCCCCAGCTGACAGCCAGCAACAAAGTGGGGGCCTCAGTTCTGTATCTGCGAGGAACTAAATTCTGCCAACAATCATGTGAGACTGGAAGAAGACCTTGAACTCCAGGGAACACAGCCTCCAACATTTGTTTTTTAAAAAAATAAGATAGGTATTTTTGGCTACAGCCTTGCAAGACCTTACACAGTGGACCCAGGTAAGCCAGGCCCAACTTCTGACTCACAGAAACTGAGATCATGAACGTACACTGTGTGAAGCTTGTGATAATTTGTTATGCAGCAAAAGAAAACTAAAACGGTGACTTATCATTGTTATTTCACTTAGTATTTCTCCAAATGCTCAACTTTAAGCACTAGTTCCTTGGTTTGTAAGCAATCTGGATTTGCACTCTTATGAGTAACCCATTCGTATGTGTTTTGTCCAGTTTTTTTTTCCACTGGATGGCTTGTCTTGTCAAATTAAGAATCCTGTATATTATAGATATAAACCCTAATCATCTTTCCAAAGCTACCATATCTCTACTGACTTTGTTTATGGTACCTTTTGCCATTGAAGCATTTATTTTTCATGTCGTCAAATATGTCCATCTTTTTTTTTTTTAAGACAATATTCTGGACTTATAGCTTTAGTTAAGGTTTCCCCAATCCTTGAATTGTACATGAAGTCTCTTTATGATTAAATTATCCATTAAGTGGAGGTATAGCATCATAAATAAAGGTCCTCATCCTGGTCTTCACATTGAGTAGACTGAGGAAAACGAGGAAGAGGAAGGGTTGGTTTTGCTATCTCAGGGGTGGCAGAGGCAAAAGAATATCCCCATATAAGCAGACCTATGCATTTCAAACATGTTTTGTTCAAGGGTCAACTGTGTTTAATTTAAAATTTACTAGATTTAATCAATAAGACAGATAAACTGAGTGTTGATTGCCTCATTGGAGGACACATCTGAAGATTCCTTAATTTAAATAAAAGCTCTCAGTTCACTTTAAGCAATTTGATTTAAGGAAATGGCATGAAGGAATACACTCACTGCAGGAAGAAAGCATACCTGACAAAATATTTTAAGACTCCTGGTATTTAGCAAGAAGGTTTGAGACAGTATTCCCTTAGGTATGGTTTTTGAGATGTTCATTAATTTAGCTAATGGGAAAATGCCAGGTGTTCATGATATCTGACTAGAGAAATATCTTTATATCCTAGTTGACTAATAAAGATCCCTGCTCCCACATAATTCTCAATCACAAAGTAAGCTTGCCCAGAAACTATTTAGCAACATGTCAACTCTCCACATATTTATGCCTTCATTTTTAAGTAATCATACCTATCGACGCTTAATCATTTGTAAAAGTTGATCTAGGCAATGTAGGTTCTGATGTTACATTACGCACATGGAAGTGTTTCTACATTAGTCATTTTCAGTAAATGTGCACAGAAGAAAAACCTACTTGAATTATTCTTCTGAATTCTTGGATACTAGGAGCTGTTAGACTTTCCCTAAAACACTTCCATCATTTACTGAGCATTTATAAGTTCCATTGTGGCCTACTTCATTAATAATACACAAATGCATTTAAATTCTGAAATTCAAGCAAAGAAATCAGAGATGATAAATAACAATAACAACAAACCAGGAAATCACTAGAGAAACCAAAAGTCTGAGCTCCCTAAGGCCTTTTTTATTACAGCTATAAATCATATCACCCAAAGGGGAACTTGGGGGAAGTTTGCACACAATCAAGTCTAACCTAGCAGCAGTACTGGAAATAACTACAGATGCAGTGCCAACAATGCTTGGATGATTGCCACCCTGAGTAACATTTGTCAAGCATTTATATGACTTAGCTACACTACAAAGCAGCTTTGCCATATAGTTCACAATGTTTTGGTTAATTATACTTCTAAAAACAATCTCCAGTGAAATAAAAGTCAGTTGAACTCAGTACATTTGAGGAGGAAACTGGTACTCGAGCATTGAAGCAAATGGCCGAGGACCACCTCCCAACATCAAAACGCCACCAATATGTCTGAAGGCTGCAAAGGGACTCTCATCAAAATGGAAAGATGTCTGCAAGGTAGTCACTTTTCTCTCCCAAATATTTTCTAATTTCGTTATTTTTAAATCCTCCCTTCCTCTCTAAATCCCCCTCCCAAACATCCCTCTTATCTAGGTCAACAAGTAAATCACAAAGGATCTCGATGCTCTCAGAGTAATGCACATCTGTCTATTACATTGTACATTCATTGGAACCAGATCAAGGGAACCAGAAAAAATTGTGCTGCATTCAAACCTTCAGCCTAAATGGGTAGCCCTGCAGTGCTACAACTTTCAAAGTTGACACTGACAGTTATCTCTACAAACACTGAAGGGCTCACTGGTGCCAAACAGGATGTCCCTGCTAGGAAGTTCATTGACTATAAATGTTATGTGGTGTCATAACATGCAATAACGTGCCAAGACTCTGGAGCTTCAGATTAACCACTGAAAGACAACATGGGAAATGCGGTAAGTTCATCCTCATGAAACCAGAGCTCAGGGGAAGCATAGCGTTTAACACTTCCATTTACAAGCCTTTGGGGAGGAAAATCTGGATCCCTACAAAGCTGGAGAAAAGTCTCCCTGTTGTAACTCAGGGCTGTGATGAAAATGACAAGAATTACAACCAAGGGAGAAAGAGAGGGAGCAAAGTTCACCACCTAAGGCTTATCTGGAATTCAAAGCAATCTAGGTTAATATTTTATGATACAGAACGAATCAAAGGTACACCCCTCATCTGCACTGTTATATCTGCCTGGCAACACCTGATGAGGAGGTGTTAAACAGACAACAGCCCACAGCTATGACACAAGGAGGAAGAAGGCCAGAGAGGCAAAGAACAAAGAGGAAGAGGGGAAAAGGTACAGCAGCAGGCACCGTAGGTAAGCAGAAAACTGTGAGGTTTATTTCTTGGTTTATTTCTTTTTCCCCATATTTTATCCTGGCTCAACACACTTCAATTTATTCCTCTAATTCCGAGTGCCTCAAACATTTGAACCAGAATTTTTTAAATGAGAGAGAAATTTTGTTAACAAGGAATTTTCCCTGAAAGCTTTCTAAAAAATGTAAAAAAATTGTAATTTCACAGAGAAACTAACCAACTCCTGGCTCTCCTGTGACTGATTTTACTCTATAATAATAATTTCTAACATTTACAGAATTTTAAATATAAAGTTTCGTTCAATCTCAGGACAACTCTGAGGTAGGTACAGGATTTCCACAGCAACCCAAAGGTGCAAGATCATATCGCAAGCATGTGGTGGAACAAGAAGTCCAACTCCAAGTCTACATTTAGTTTATAACTTACATTTGGTATTATTACAAGAGACACTCTGTTCAACACAAAGCTCAAGTTCTTCTACCTTAGATCACATGTCCTTGCTATTTTTAAAGGTGGTTTTTAGAATGAATCATCATAGTGGCTTTGCAGACTATGACTGTTCCTGATGCACCAGCCTGGCTATCAGCCATGGGTCAGATGAAGGGTCAGGAGGGCAGGTGGTTAAAAGGACTGGGTGGCTGGATCTCCTGCTAAAATTACACAGAGAAGACTAACTCAAAGCATTGCTGACACAGAAAACTGGACTGAGAACAAGCTACAATTTATCAAAGTAGAGCAAGTTAGAATTTAAATCAAAGGGAATGCCTTCTCTTGATTTTTAGGGCCACTAGCTCACCCTGGTGGACAGAAAACTCAACTACGCAACCATCAATTTTCTCCCATACCACTCATTAAAATACTGTGCAAAAACTAGGGAAACTGACTCAGACCAATTGATATACTAGATGATTTAAGTTTGCTCAAACTTTATGACCAGATCTATCTAGCATATACAGTTAACTATCTAAATTGTGTTAGCAATCCTAAACCTGAAAATGTGCCGATATATACATATAGAATGTGAGAAGTCTGGAAGCTGCTTAAACTCAAATATAAAAGTCAGGATTTGCTGAAAACGACAATAAATCTATAACAAGAGTCACTACAATGAGCTTCTGTGATGCACTAAAGCTAATCCTCTTTTTTCTAAAATATTATAGTAGCAATGTTTTGATCTGGTAGAAATCACCTAAACTTTAATAAAACTTAACCATAAAAATATTTATTACAATATTTATAGATATTTATTGAGTACCTTTGTATAACAGGCACTATACTAGACACTGAAAAAACAGCAGATAACAGGTTATTGCACTGATATACAGAAAATAAAAAACTGTGATGCATTAGAGACCCTGCAGCTACTTCAGAATGAGCGGTCAAAGAAGGTCACTATATAAATTATTTGCAACTGCAGAAAGCAGGAAATCACCCAAATGTCCACCAGTTGTAAACAGCCCAAATATCCATCAATCATGAAAAAAAATCCAACGGGATACTAGGTAATCATGAAAAGCTTCAAGTAGATCTGTACATACTGATATGGAAGATGTACAACACACTACAAATTGAAAACAACAAGGTACGAACCGGGTATACGTGAGTCTATGTGTAGACATTTCTAAAAGCAACTATTTAGATGTGGGAATATATATTTCTAAAATATCCCCAAAATTACTAACAGTGATTACTTCTGGGAAGAGGAACTTGAGGTGGAAAAAGTCTATATTCCATTCAGTATTCTTCAGAATGTACATATGTGTGTATTCTCTCCATTTAAACATTGAAATTTTATTTTTAATATGTAAATAAAAGCCAAATCAGTGTGACAGAAAACATGGGTGTTCTTTTCTTGATCTGTCTGCAAATGCTGTATTTCTAACGCATAGTCTTAATATATCAACGCTGTACTTAGACAAGGTGGTAATAACATGTCCATCTAGGTCTTTTCCCACCTGGGTCTTTTCCCCCCATTACTAATACTCGAATGTCCTTACCAAAGAAGAATGTTCATACCTCTTAAGCAGGTTATTGAGAAACTACAAATGTCCTGTGTGATCACATCCCTAAATTTAGGTTTTAAAAAATAATTAATTGTAAAAGAACTCCAATGATTCTAAAGGAAAACATACTTCAAAAGAATTTTCCAACACAAATAAGCCTAATTACTTAGTGGCATGTTCCAGTCAGAGGCAAAGACGTCATTTCCAAAACTAGCAATTCAAACTCATATTTTAACATTATAAGGCAATTACATCTATATGCTTAATAATATGGAAGGCAGTAAATGTGGTACATACACCACGAGATTTTAAAATGAAACAAATTAGCCGAATTTGAGTTTCTTACCTAATGCAGCATGATTTTCTTCCTCCTGACTCTTTTCCAAAAAGGCCTTCATTTTTGAATATTTGTCAGTCCACCAAGGATTATATTTCAAAATCTGTTCAATCGCCTCGTCTTCAAAAAAGTCAGCTCTAGGAAAAAACATTGAAAGAACTTATTATACTGGCTTTTACTTTTTAACATTTTATCTTAACTCATATTTGTACCAGAAATACAGATTTTTAATTCAAAGTACATTTCAAGGAAAGACTGAACACTATATTTACTTTCTTTGTAGTTACCAACCACAAACATAAGTTACTTATCATAAAACAAAAGTATCTGATTAAAGGGACATATAAGATTTCTGATCTTTTTTTGTTGTTGTTAACTTTTTTAAAAAGAGATGGGTCTCACTCTGTCATTCAAGCTAGAGTACAGTAGCATGATCGCAGCTCACTGCAGCCTCAAACTCCTGGGGTCAAGCAATCCTCCTGTCGCAGCCTCTCAAGCAGCTATGACTATAGGCACGTGCTACTGAGACTGGCTAATTTCTATTTTTTTTATAGAAACGGGGTCTTGCTTCCTTGCCCAGACAGATCTTAAACTCTCAGCCTCAAGTGATCCTCCCACCGCAGCCTCCCAAAGTGTGCTGGGATTACAGGCTTGACCCCCTGTGTCCAACCTCTGATCTCTTTAAATAGAAGGTACGTAGAAGATTGGTCCTACCCTGAAGTCCCATCCCATATTCAATGATGTGAAATGAAGCAAATCTGAAGACACACTGGAATGAAATCTAGCACTTATGCTAGGTCTGCAAGTACCACAGACTTTAGTAAAATTTCAATAAAGGAAAAAATTTTTGAACTCAACCAGCAAAGAAAAACAAGCAGATGAATAGGAAATTCAGGATACTGCATCTCCACAAAGACGCTAAAATGGGCTATACACACACACACACCATTTTTGGCATGTGCACTCATATTTTCTACCAAGATACAATCTATTTTATTAAGATATGAATTTTAACAGTTCCTTAAATTACTGAAGAAGATAAAAGCAACATTTGTAGAGAACAGAAAGTTAATTTTCCTGTACTCTACATTCCTATTTTAACTAGAAAAATAACAGCCACATTCAAAATATACTTCTCACTCTATACTTCTCACTCTTAGAGGACACTTATTTAGAAATTATTCTATCTTGCATTCAAAGTTGGAAACTGGTATTCTTGGGAAAAGCATTAACAAAGTATAACTCAATGGTGAAAATTTTATTTATATTTTAGTTAACCAGAAACTCAAGGAATTGGTTGCTTTGATACACTGAATTTTCTAACTGATAGTTTTACAACCTTAGACACTTGAAGTTCCCTTTCAACTGAGATACTGAAATCGTTTAAAAATTAGAAAGATCACAGACAACTTACTGAGTTCTTTGTATGTTCCAGGCACTGCACTAAAAGCTTTGCATCCATTATTTCCTTGAATCTTCACACCATCACTACGAGCATGGGGTACTATTAATACCATCATTTTACAAAGGTAGAAACTGAGGCTCAGAAAAGTTTTGTAGCTTGGCCAAGTTCAGAGAACAAGTAAAAAGCATAGCTAGGATGTAGACCTACTTAACTCTTACTCCAGATTCCAAGCTCTTAACCAAATAAATATTCCATTTTTATATAGGAGGAAATAAAGTACATATTAGACAAAACTGAACAGCTAATATCTCGAAATAGGAATTGTCAATAACGATTTCTGACAGGTGCACAGACATATGAGACTAAGACAAAATAGTTGCTTCATAAACTAATCCTGCTAAGCCTATTTTCTTCTTAGCTATCTCCTTCTCCTTAAAGTGAAGGAACTCTTTTGAACTGAGGTTCTACTATAAACTCAACCACAAATCAGAACGTGAGCTTTTTTCCAGGAAATGAATTTCAAATGGATAAACAATAACAAATGACTAACATGCTAAATAAGTCATTCATTCAACAGAAAGTATTGACGTTGTGCCACGTTCCATGCTCCATATTAGGCACTAGGGTTCCACTGCTGACAAGACACAGATAGTCCTGGCCCTCACACAACTTACAATCCCATGGGAGAGTCAAACAATTACAATATAGCAAAATGCTATGACATAATAGCAGTGTAAGATTCTAGGGCAAAATAAATTCGAACGACAGGCGAGGACCCTGGAGGATATATCTAAACCAACGATGGAATGACAATGAACAGTTAACCAGAGGAAGAGGGGTAGGAGAGAGTATTCTGTGATGAAAAACTGGTTGGCAAAGGCTAGAAAACAAGAAGGCACATTTAAGGGGAAAAAAAGTCGAAAGAAGCTGAAAATAATATAGTGGCAACCACCTTGTAAGCCATGTCTAAGAAATCTCAAAGATTATCCCTACCAACTAAACACTTAAAAGCTTTGCACATAGGGGAATGACACTAGCATGGTTTAGAAACATCACTCTTATTGCAGCCTGGAAAATGATTTAAAGGGAGAAACCTGGAGAAGCAGACATAATGGTGGCCTAGAATAACATAGTGGCAGTAGACACACAGCAAAGTGGATGAATCTGACCTATATGTAGATGACAGAACCCTTAGGATGCAGGGAACGAGGACCTCAAGGAGTGAAAAATGACACAGAGAATTCTGGCCTCCATAACTCAGTGGACAACAGTGTCCTTTGTTGAAACAGGGACATAGGAGGGAAGCTAACAGATATGAGTGAGAAATAAAGACCCCTGCTTGGGATAGGTTGAGTCTGACATGCCTTTTCTTAGGATTTACAAACATCCCGTCCAATAGGTAGGTGGACATACAAGTCTGATGCTCAAGAGAGAGATATGGGAGTCATAAGCAGTTAAAATTGCCCAGGAAGAACTGGCACAGTGAGAGAAAAGAGCCTTGGACACCACAGCGCGGAGGACACCAAAGGCAAGAGTAGAGGAGCCCATCTGAAAAGATGCTGTTTTCCTCCCCAAGGGACCACGATGAAGGGAAAAAGAAAACTGGCTTGGAAACATGGTATTTCTACCACCTCCATCCCCCTCCCCACCAAAAACACCTCCAAAATGTTTGATTATTTTGAGTAAAATTTCACTAACACAGTCCTAGTAATCTAAACTGTGCTGGTCTGTGCTTGACATTGTCCATGAATTAAGAGTTTCATGAACAAGCGCTGACGGTGACTAATATTTTACTTTTCATAATAAATTACTTTCAAGTTTTGTCTGTTTTTTCATTTGAGATCTCAATTTTTTTTCAAGATTTTTAAGGTCACAAATTGAACAAGCATTCACCGAATGCCCTCTACGTGCATTGTCAGGAAGATGAAGATCTGTAAAATTCACTTCCTGCCCTTAAAGACTCCACAATTTAATGAGAACCAGGTACACAAATACAGAACATTATAAAACAATGTGGTAAAAACAAGATAAACTGTAACAGGGGAGCACTGAGGTGGGCTTCCTAAGCCAGTCTAACAGGGCGAGTGCATGGGAGAAACAATGAGCCTAGTCTGAAGAGATAAGAACCACTATTTAGGCAATGTGGGGTCAGGGGAAATAAATGGCAAAGGGATACCATGATAAAAGGAAATATATGAGAAACAGTATGGGCTGGGCGTGGTGGCTCATGTCTGTAATCGCAACACTTTGGGAGGCCAAGGTGGGTGAATCACGTGAGGTCAGGAGTTTGAGACCAGCCTGGTCAACATGGTGAAACCCCATCTCTATTAAAAACACAAAAGTTAGCCAGGCATGGTGGTGCAGGCCTGTAAGCTCAGCTACTCAGGAGGCTGAGGCAGGAGAATCACTTGAACCTGGGAGGCAGAGGCCATGGTGAGCTGAGATCGCACCACTGCACTACAACCTAGGCAACAGAGCAAGACTCCGTCTCAAAAAAAAGAGAGAAAAGCAGTGTGGTACAGGTGGGGAAATGCAAACATTCATCATTGTTGAGGTGTAAAATGTGAGCAGGGAGTGGCAAAAGTGAAGCTACAGAAGTAGGCAGGGTCCAGATCACAGAGAACTTGCAATGACACACAAAGGAGTTAGGTACTTTAAGCAGAAGAGCATCAAGGACAGGGTTCAGCAGATTTTCATTTCAGCATGTAAGACATCATACTAATGGTTCATGGTTGATGGATCTGAAGTAGCCCAGACTAGCAGCAGAGATGCCAGTTAGGCAGTTAGTGAGTGCTGCACTAAACCAGACACAGATGAGGGCCAGAAATTGATGAAATGGAAAAAAAAAAAATACTACAGAGATGAATGGTACAACTTCAGAATTGATTGAATGTGTGGGATAAGAGAGAAAGCAAAGATGAATCCCCGCTTTCTAATCTGGGTGACTAGAGTGAAAAATGGGGCATCAACCAAGTTAGAAAATTTACAAAGACTTTAGAGGTAAAACGATGAGTTCGATTTTGGACATGTTGAAACAGAGGAGTCAGTGGGATACCGAGTCTCTCTCTAACCCTTCGATCTGCTTCTTCTTCATAGCACTTAATCAAAATAAAAATAGTGTCTACTTCCTTCACTACAATGGAAGTCCCATGGACAACACAGAGACTGAGATCTTGCCGTATACTCCACGGTGTCCTTAGTATCTGTGACACTGCTTAGCATGTAGTTCATTCAGACAAATATTTGTTGAACAAATAAATACATAAATGAAAGAATAGATACATAAAATTGTATTCTAATGCTTTTTCTCAAGTTCTGTGTTTTGAATTGAGAGCCACCTCAGAAGCATGTGATCCTGCTCCCAGTCTTCCAATTACTATTTATTGTCTTAATATCCACTCAATAAATCCAAGACTTTAATCAATACACCATCTTCTTTCACAAATTTAAGAGTAATGAAAAATTATCGCAATTTAAAATGGTACCACAAATGATATAAGATCATTTTTGTCCCTTTTCTTATCTCACAGATGTTTAGAACACTGACTAAATTCTTGTGCTTCCTTCCAAAGAAAGAGGCAAGATTTTAAGAACTTATTAATGTAAAATGTATGCCAACAATTTAAAAACTATTGGGGAAGAAGAAAACCAAACATTATCAGCAAGAGAAATATGAATACTTGGCTATAATAATAAGCAATGAGGAATGACTATTAAGAAATGCTGGGCCGG